CACCAACACGGATTCCACATCGCCACCGGGGTGCATCCGCTGGTAGTGACGGATACTGTTCCAGGCACAGCCGCCACTGGTGCTGGAGGTGCGGTGGGAGGCCGGGGGGCGGCTGCCGCCACTGCCGCCAGCGGCGGCGGCGGCGGCCGCACCGAGGGCCGCCAACACGGCGGCGGCGCCTCCGGTGCCGCCGCGGCCTGCAGCAGCGGTAGTGGACGTGCCCGAGGCGGAGAGGGCGGCGGCCAGGTGCGGGCAGCCGCCAGCTGCTGCCGCTGCTGCTGCGGCGGTGTTAAGGCCGTTAAAGCCGTTAAGGCCGTTAAGGCCGTTATGGTTGTCCCCGGGGCGAAGGCCGCTACGAGTGGGCGCTGTTGGGTGAGTGAAGGATGATGGTCGGGAGGCCCAAGCGGGGCGATCTAGCTCCGGAACCAGATTGGTGACACTCCCGACACGTTCCTGGGGCCCGGGGGGTTATTTATTTGCAAGAAGGCCAAGGTCAACTGATGGGGGCCGGGCGTGGACAGGACGGACTGGCGCTTTCATAACATCGGGAAAGGGTTGCAAAGCAGCCCTGGCAGCAGTGGCAGCAGTGGCAGCAGTGGCAGCCCTGGCAGCAGTAGCAGCAGTGGCAGCAGTAGCAGCCCTGGCAGCAGTGGCAGCAGTGGCAGCAGTAGCAGCCCTGGCAGCAGTGGCAGCAGTGGCAGCCCTGGCAGCAGTAGCAGCAGTGGCAGCAGTAGCAGCAGTGGCAGCAGTAGCAGCAGTAGCAGCAGAAGCAGCAGCAGAGATGAGGAGATAGGGGGAATTGATAAGCTGCATAATATAACCATACTGCTTACACAACAGCAACACGCAGTGGAACTAAACGGTATAGGACCACAATAAAGCTGCAGCAGCTATCAAACCACGGCTGCTGCTCCAGGCAGGTGATAACACGTGATCAACCTGGAGTTCCCCTGCCCTCCTGACGCCTTCGACGGCCGCCTCATTGGCATCCGGGAAGTCCAGGGAGGACCTGTACGACCCGGCTTCCTCCGCCACGGCGCCCAGGGCCGCCACCGCCGCCGCCGCCGCGGCGGCGGCAGCGGATGGCGCATGTGCTGCCGCCGCTGGCGCCACGTCATCATGTAGGATTCCGGACGATGTCTGCAATCTTGACAGCTCCGGGAATCCACCGGGACGAGAATCCAACGCGTTGCCTATGACCCATGGGTCAGTGTGTGGGTGGAATGTACAATGCGAATGTTGCCCCGAGAATCACCTTCCCGATTTTAGACACGGGATTCAATTATTGCTCTGTTCTCGTCGTTATGCTTTGGGCGTTAGGACTGTTGCGGGAGAGAACTACACCCGGGAATGAGGGCCGGTAAAAGAGCTCATAGGGAGGCACATCGAGCATGTCATGTGAATGTAAAAGAGACTCACGTGTTTGTGTGGTCCGTGGTGGTGTACGGAAAAGCCATATATATTATATATGGTTTTCAGGTAAAAAAACGGTGAAGTGACAATATCGTAGGTTAGGATATTAGCTATAATAGGTTTGCCTGCTCATATAGCTCCTCATAATTTCTGTTGTGTCATCCAAATGAAATGTGCAGTTGGTTTCGTGCATTACAAAAAGTGCATTAAAAAAACATGGTGCGTGCAACCCAACTAAGTAGCTCTTGTCGCCCAAGCACACCGGGGGGTAAATGCCGTACCTGCCGGCATCTGCATGAACTGCATTTGGCCCTTCAGCTCCATTCCGTTAATTTTGCTCCGAAACACAAATATGTTGTCCGGGTGATCCATCATGCGTTCAAACGTACACGGAATGTACGGATGCCGTAGCTACAAGAATATTAAAGAGTCGGCAGTACATAATGCGAACATACGAACATTAGTCGGGCAACCTGTACAACACGCACAATAACGTGCGGACGCGATTTGGGCCAAAGGAGAACTCTGTAAGAGTCTCTGTCATGCAAACCCGCTACGTTTTTAAACGTTACAAACCGACACACAACGATCAGTAACCGTCACGTACCGTGAAAAAGTCAGTCAGCAGACGGTCTGGCTTCATGGCGGGGTACATACGGGACAGAGCCCGGCCGACCTGGGAGCATGGTTAAATGGACGGACGAGATGTGTGTTCATGTGTGTTCATGTGTGTTCATGTGTGTTCATGTGTGTTCATGTGTGTTCATGTGTGTTCATGTGTGTTCATGTGTGTTCATGTGTGTTCATGTGTGTTCATGTGTGTTCATGTGTGTTCATGTGTGTTCATGTGTGTTCATGTGTGTTCATGTGTGTTCATGTGTGTTCATGTGTGTGCGCGCGATAAAGATCGGGAATGGTGCAATGAGAGGTCAGTCCCGGTCAGACACCACCATAACATACACTCTTCAACACCACGCCACACCTCACACCATACCATCCGTATCACCGTACTGACGTACTACTACACTGCCGTACATACCTGCACCAACCGCCCCTCCGCATCTATGACCATGTGGAAGGGGAAGAGCTTAAAGCTGCGGAGGGCAAAAAGAGGTTTGAAAGGGGTCTGACGACGTGTGTTTGTGGGGGGAGGGGAAAAGGTGGAGGAGTGTCGGTCCGGATCCCTCCCGGGGGCACTTGCACTCCCGGATTGGTCTTTAGGGGTTTTCACGCTCCATCCCATACACACACATACATACATACTCCCAACCGGCTCTTACAAGGTAGTGGGGTCCAAGGCGAGCCGACAAGTCGCCGCTGCGCTGTTCATCTGCATGACTGAGTCTTGCGGAGGGAAACGAACCAATAATGTGTCCGTACCGCCGCCGCCGCCGCCGCCGCCGCCTCTATCTCCGCCGCCCTCACAAACCCCCGCCTCGTCTTCGTCACCGTCACCGCCACCGCTGCCAACCTCGCCGCGCATTTGCAATACCGTGATCTCGACATCTATGTCGTACAGTAACTTGGCGGCCCCGCGAAGTAGGCCCATGGCGAAGCGTGTCAGTCCGGGGCGGGTGGAGGTGTAGTGGAAGACGACGGATTCCGGAGTCACCTGTCGTTAAGGGGGAGGGAAGGAAGGGGGGAGGGAAGGAAGGGGGGAGGGTGAGGGCAGTTCTGAGACTTAGGGTTTCCAAAGGAGGCTCTGAACGGAGGATGTGAATGAATGGATGGGTGGATGGTGGATAACACAGCCGACATCGCGATGTCAGCTCGGATCCGGGTTTGCGAGGAGGTGGGGGAGGGCGGGAGAGAGGGGGGGGAGTCCCCAGGCCGCCACGGAGTCACCAGCTCGGGGACCCACCGGGTGCCCTCCCCTCCTGTTGGGGCCCCTCCCCTCCTCCCACTCCCTCCCTCCCCTCCCTCCCCTCTCCTCAGGTGCTACTTACGTCATCGACATTGAAGGCCGGCGGATCCATTTCCTTGAATGACATGGACCTGCGTCAGCCATGGAAAGCGCCTAGTTAGTTATTTGGTTTGGTTGGTTTGATTTGAGGTGGTTGGGTGGTTGAAAGAAGAGAAGAATGCGCGATGGACCTAGTAGACACGCTGTCACAACCGTCATAACTGCCATAACTGTTCAACCGTCATAATTGTCATAACCGTCATTAACCAGAATCAGACGAACGCACCATGAGGTCCCCAAGGCCTTGAACCTCCGCAGCACCCCCCCACACACACACACACTCCCCCTCCCCTCCCCCCCCCCCACACACACAACCACCCCGGTGGGAAAAACTGCAAAAATGCATCTCAATATCTTGTACGGCAGCACCATGACTGCTCCCCGCCGAACGCCTTATACAATTTTCGCATCCTCGTGGTGCCACCTATGAAACCTCGTACGACATGCCGTACAGCCAAACTCACAGATGCAGGTGATATATGTTGAGGTTCTGAAGGAACTCGATGATGGAGCCGCCCATGCAGCGGAGCATCGGCTCGAAACCCTGTTATGTGTTGGGTTTGAACGTCCGTAGGTGTTTGTGCCGGGAGAGATGGGGGGAAGGGGGGGGGGAGGGGAGGGGGAGGGGTTGGGGTCTATGTCGGCGTTGGGAGGAGGGGAGGGGGGCTCGCATGGGGCCCGGGGGAAGGCCCTCAAGTACCCCCCCTCATGTTAAGAAGCGGCCACTCCCCCGGCGGGGGGGGCTCCTTGGCCAAACATACATTTGCCACTTGGTGCAGCTCCTCCCCCTCCCGTGTACCTGTGTGTGCGTGTACGTGTGTGTAGTAACATGCATTCCCCAGGCACCAAGCACATGCAGCAAAAGGCAATAACAGCGCCTGCACCTTCTCCAGTTCTCTCGTTACCAACCCCCCAGGGCCCCCAGGACCCCGAGGGGGCCGAACACTGTATGTATGTCTGTCCGTAATAGATAGATATAGATAACATGAAAATGCAACAGGAAAAGGTATTATTATCCCATCGCTCGAAAAGAAAAACTTATGTCGAGCTAACTTCGAACTATCCAGACCGCTTTGCCCATCTGAAAACCCGTCAGAAAGCCCCCGCATGGGCTGTGTACATGCTTGGCAGTGCAAAAGTACACATGTTCTTCGTCGTCCGCGGCTTGTAGCTCGCAAAACTTGCGGATCCCCTGCTCTCGCGCGATTCCCCCTTCCCCCCATAAGCTCTATTTGCTTCTAGCGGCCAGCAACGTATACATAAAGTAAAACACAGTAGCAAATGCACACATCGACACAGGGGTGAACATATCGGCATGCGGCAACCAGCTTGCCCCGGCTGCTTTCTCCAAAACGCGAATCACGTTGGGCCCCCAGCAGCTGGACTTCACGTGCCATCGGGACGCGATATGTACATATCGGTATGTTGAGGGCTATGTGCTAGAGCAATTAGCTATACAGCTTTTACATGCGCATGACCGACTGTGCCGTACAGCTCATGCCGTACCCGCCCAACCGCAGTACCATTTTGGGGACGTAAGTCATGCAGAAGTGGTATCCACAGTCCTCCAGGACGTTCTGGAAGTCCAAGCCACGGTGCTCTGCTAACGTGCTCAGTGCTCTGCGGGAACCAGGGGCATGGTTGGGTTGGGGTTACAGTTCCGTTGGGCTTCCGTTGAGATTTTATATATTCCGGTTGCTATATTATAATTTCGGTTGTTACTGTACGGTGAGATTGCGGCGAAATTGGACCCAGGTAAGCGGAATAAAACCAGTAAGGGCCAGGGACGCCGTACCATGCACATCAGAGGGTTGCGTGTACGGCAGCATGTACGGCAGCATGACGGAGGGAGAACAGCAAGGGAAGCATGTGAATGCGATGTCTTTGAGTAGTCAACAGAGCCCAAGGCTGATTTTGATACCATCTAATCGGCTGAGTCGCTCTGCGAGGCTGGGTATTATACGACTTGCGTGGAGGGCAAGTACTCGTGCTGTGGGGGGATGCCGGGGGGCTGACGGGCAAGCAAACGCTGTGACGTGTGCTGTTAAGAAGATTATGGCTCCTTACGCATGTTCTGTGTGTATGTGTACGTGTGTATGTGTACGTGTTTATGTGTACGCGCGTGTGTGTGTGTGTGTGTGCGTGTGGCGGGCAGGCAAAGGCGGACGACGAGATCACACCACTGAGGCGGAGTCTATTCGAGCCACGTGGGCCCACGTTGTTTTTTTTCCAGTTTTCCAGACGTTTGGAACCTTTAGGAAGCAGTGCAGTTCCCAGCGGGAGCTATACCTTTGGATGGTGACATGCACCACATCTGATGCGCTTCCGCGTGTATCCTCTGCGGAGGAAGATGTATCCCGGGCTGGCCCGGGCACCCACGGCACCATGCCAGCTGCAGCCCCCTTATCCTTTTGGTTACAGCATAGAAACCCAACCTGATCTCACCCATGGGATTGCAACACATGGTTTCAGAGCCCGATTTGATCTTACTTGTAAGTCACCTCGTCGGGGTATGGGCACGCAGTGACGTAGGTCTTGTCAATGCCCGCAGCTTCCGCGACGGCAGCCCACGCATCAGCACCATAGGTGTCGATGATAAACCCTCGCATACCGTCGTTTATTAAACCTGAACGGCGAAATTCTCCTTATGCGGGTATTGAACGTAGCACAAGCCGCATCGCTTCCTCAGAAACAGAAACCGAAAGGGAATGATAGATAACCTTCATACCTAGCATGTTGATTCTTAAGTGCTGTATCCAAACGTTTCTTAAAGCTCTTCGTTCTCCGAGATAGGTAATGCGAGGCCCCTGCGCGTGTTACGATAGTTATATAAAACCTACGTGGACTATCCAAATAGTATTATAGTATTTTGTTTTACTAGGAGTACAGTAACAATGTGTCCTACGCGTCTGAGTCTCGAGCGTCCCTGTGTATTGCCACCTAATGATTTAGCGTTTTAACCATCAAGACATTTTGAGTGGGTAGCACATCTGCAGATGTTACGGATAACAGCTGCATAGCAGTTGTTCAATCGCACAAGTTGTTCAAGTGCGGCGGTTGTTCGTTTTCTAACTCCCAGCACATGGTAAATCATCTCGCTCGACCCACAACCTATTTTGAAACCAGCTACATCAATTAAGACCTATATTTATCGTCAATCACATGCGTCCGGTTTGCCTCCTAGGCTTTCCAGTGACACTTCGCATTAACGCGGGACGCGGCAGCGCTTGTGAAGATATATCGCACACCTTTTACATTAGGTTAGTCTAAATATTTACTTTGTATGCTGAGCCACGGCGACTAAAGGACTGCTTTCCGTTTTCGGAGTTCGCATCGGGTTATGAAACCTCTGAACGAGCTTAGCCTAGGGTAACACGTCCTGCTGTGATAGGGTCATGAAAATAGCTGTTTGGCATCCGTTACGGCATTCGTGATGACGACAATAGCAGTAATGTGTGACCGACGCGCCCGACTAAATACTCCACCTACGTGGCAGCTCTAGGCTTTAAGGGATGTGATTTGGGTTTGAAACAGGTAAGATTTCTGGAATAACTTGGAGGCTCGCTTTGGGAAAACGCATGTCCCTTTCGTACTTTCGTTGAGTACGTGGCCATCGCTCTGAAGAAGTCTGCCCAGGCGACCAGTAGGGCTTGTTCGCAAATTATGGCCTCAAAGTTTTGCAATCTGTTTGGAACGGGAAGTTGGGAGAGACCTTCAACTGTCAGTTCCTACCCGGCTCCAAACCAGTTACAGGAAAGCTTCAAGAGCTAACCTGTCCTGGAAAACGTTTAGGAAGGAGGTAGCTTCTAGATGGTCAGATTATATTAAATAATCATGATTGGGTGTTTCTGGTGAAGCAGCTGACTGCGTTTATTGCGGCTTCGTAGGGTGACCGGCCATACGGTGGCGATTGTGGCTGGCTTGCCGTGCATAACATCCCGAAGGAGAATGGTAGTGTGCACGCCGTAGTCTGGAGGAAATACGGCGCCGGTGCGTGTGCGTTTGTGGAAGTGTAACACGGGGTCTGGAAGCTGTGGTCGGCTGTGTAAGGGCCTATGTTTGTTCAATACAGCCAAACGAAATTTGCCGGGCGCGTCCAATCATCTCAAACGGGCAGCATTATAAGCGGTGCACATCGACTTTCAGACCGGAGTAGGTGTTGTTACAAGGAGACGCAGGACATGTTAATACGTCGTTAATACGTCGGCCAACGGATTGGCGCACAGCACACGGGACGTCGCGCTCATGCAGCAGAAGACGTGGCCATGTATGGATTGCAACAGCAAAGCATGTCAGCAGCTTATTCAGATGGCCCTACTCACGCCAAAGCCACAGTACAAAAACACTGCCCGGAGAAAGGCTGCACCTTAGCCTTGTCGACGGCCCTACCGTTCTGACCTGGGTGCACTATATGGCACGGTTAGCTGCAATAGAGTCCGCTGGCCTGCTGGGCTCCTAAACGTGAGGGTCTGCTGTGTTGCATGCAAGTCGAGGTAAATGTGTGTAAGGGCAGCGTGTAGCTAACAGGGCAAGAAATCACCCGCAGGTTGCCTAAAGTGGGGGTTTGCACCATGCGTCGACAATTTATGACCCCGCAACATCGCCTATGCAAGTTCCGTGGGCACCGTGAGCACGCGCATAACGATGCAGATGCTGCCCGTAATTACGTGTTGATCTTGATCCGTATCACGCGGGTGCTGCTGACAGCGAGGCGTGCATGCAGTGCTGGACATGCACGTGATGCGCCATGCATGATGTTGCAGAGCAGTGAGGTCCCAGGCCTTGAATTTGTCAATGCAGTACACCTCCGTGGTGTCGGCCACATGCCTGCTCTGGCAGCACATGAGTAGAGCCAGCTGGAAGTACTGTTGATATGGCTGGTATGTTGCAGCAGCATCTGGTTGCATGCGCTTTGGCGGGGAGCAGGCATGGGTGCTGAAGTGTTGGTGGGATTGACGGATTGGCCCACATATACACGGCCCTTGTCGATGCAGGTTGTGGTATCTAGTCACGTGCTTGCAGCTGCATTTTTGCCGTGGCTGGTGGGGGCGGAATCTGCTGCACCGTGGTGCAGCACGGTGATCTTGGGGGTTTTGGCGGCGGGGAAGGCAGCAGTTTGCCATCGGCCCGGGCCTTGATCGCTGCTTCCTGGGCCGACATTGTGAATTCCTAGGATGAGTCAAAGACTTCGGCAGCGTCCATGCCGAAGTTGCAGATAAGCTGTATGTCCATATCGGCCCGCAGGGAGCCCATGGACACGATCCACAGCCTCATAATGTCAGTGTACGGTGCAGTGTGGAACTCTGGCATTTCACCACTGGCTCCGGAGGGCTCGATCACCATGTAGGCAAAGATCGTGCGATGTGTGAAGCACAGCCATGGGTGGTGGTGTGCAGTCACCTAAATGTCAGGACGTGTAGCACAGTCCTGAACGCAAATACATTTGTAGCAGGGTGACTGTCTTGCCAGAGGAGTACCCATCAGATGGGAAGCAACCAGGAGTGCAAATGGCGCAGTATAAGCACTGGATGGGGCTTTTTCAGGAGCTTCAGCCGTCATGTTGCCAACACATGCTAAGGTTTTCATTCCTCCTTTAGCACATCATAAGCTAATGCAGTTTCGCTTATGTTGCTTGGCTCTGGAGGCAAACAGAGCACGAAGAGGCAAGTACCATGTCCCCAGGGGGCAGCAGTTTTGCCACTGTTGTGGTACTAATAGCCGAATCGAGGATGAAAAACACATGTTATTGGAATGCCCAGCCTATAATGGTATTCGTGCTGAAGAGGGATTTGATCATCAACAGAGCATGTTGGAGGCCATGAAATGGGAACCAGCACGTCTGGCAAGGATGTTGGAACGTATGTGGGCTCACTGAAACTCAATTACTCCCTTTGGACGCTAGTCTGGGCTGATGTGCGGTGTTTTTTTCCTTTCCTCCATAGCTTTTAGGCGTTGTAGTATTGCCCTTGGGCCTTCGGCTCATATGGGTAGTCTTACAGGTATGGGGTCACGCACCCCCAACCATGTAACACACACACACGAATCCTTGCCATACATGGTTCAGCTGTTCCGCTGCATGACTTAGGTCCATCGAAGGTGATGCGGGCAAAATAATTGCAGGTGAGGGAAATTCGTTGGCGATCGCCATTTTCTTAATGGTCGGCAGCAGTGCAGCACTGGCAACAGCGCTGACAGTAAAAAAACTGCCCAAATTCTGGTAGCCTGTGTGGGCCACAGCATGCGCATGGCTAACTAGAAGACCGCACCATAATCACACATGATGTGCTTGTCCAAATGTCACGGAGGTTTACAGTATAAGAGTCTCGAAACCTGGGTTCGCTCAGTCGCAAATGTTGCAAGCTTCCAGAGTGAAATTCGATTACACTACAACATTGGTCCAGTCTGTTGTGATTGTTGTGTTCCACTTTCGCCACCCAGGCATTATGACCCAGGCATCATGACCCAGTAGGTCAGGGTCAGTGCTCTTGTTGGTAATTAGTCTGAAAGTGGGGAGGGGGGAGAAGATGGGGAAGGAGATGGGGGAAGAAGGGGGTGAACTTTTCCCAATTCAACTCTTCCAAGAGCCCCAGGTTGGATACGGAATCGCCAATTGCGATCCCAAATCGTGTAGTGTTCGAGCATTGGCATCCCGCCACCACACGGCACAGGCGCAAAGGACTTCATGCATTGCCGTCCACTCCATTTCTTCTTTGTTCGTTGTCTGTGAACAATTCGAACGGAACAACGGGGCATTAGCGGAACAACGGGGCATTAGCGGCACGCATTAAACAATAACGACCCCTGGGTCCGGCTGTTCAGAAACCACGCGAACCATGAACCACGTGCACATACCTGCTGAAGTCTAGTGAAATGTGGTTGGGAGCAGTACAGTGCAACACCCTACCCTCCTGCCGTCGCCGCGGTACCCAGGCTCCTCGCCCCAGGCTCCTTTCGAATCCAGCCTCAACATCGCTGTCACTGTCTTGCCACTGGTTTGCTTCTTGGCGCCAATTAGTTTGAGAAGCCATGAGTCGTCGCTGTCAATGCAACTAAGATATTCAGTGTGATTGTCCGACAATCTTACAATTATGATAATCGGATATGTGAAAATGCGTATAGAACTAAAGAACTGGGCTTTGGTTTCAGTGCGTGGGTGTACGGGCCGCCATGCGGGCAACTAGCAGAATTTATGAAGAACGTATTGATGTAGTCTTTGCGGATCGGAATCGAGCCGGGACTTGCCTCAAGAGTTTGTTGTCGAAAGTAACATGAAATGTTAAGCTATGCGTTATTGCTCATCCTTTGTGTGTCATCTAAGTTGGTTGCACGTGCATGTTGCGTGCGGCAACCGGCAGCTGTGGTGGCGCCCTTGCAGAATCACTTCAGCAGATCGTCAGCTTTAATAATATGCTTTATGTCCGTAGGAAAAGGTGTTTTGTGTTGTCAAATGGAAGGCGGTAATAACGGTCAGCTCCAGGGTTGGAAACAATTTCCGGCACGAACTCCCTTGCTGGTCAGAGTCATTAATTGCAATGAGCACATCATTGACACTCACAAATTCGCGTGTATGATATTCACCTGGTACTTGAGCTTGACGCTGATAAAGCAGAACTTGCGAGACGCTATAACGCCAGATCAGTGACAGCGCATGTGCTGCTGCTGTTGCAGACGCTGGCCTGGGTCCTGTTGGAGTAGACGAAGACGATTTGGATGGGCAGCGAAGTATGGCACCGCTGAGCGTTTGCGGACTGCTAGAGGGGAGGGCCTCGTCGGCGCGCGTCTGGCACCTGGCGTTGTGGATGCTATCCCAGGTAAATCCTAAGCGTGATTTCTTTGCATCTCATATTTCGCCGAAGAGTCCGCGTTGCGTGTACTCCGGCTACTGTTCGTCCCTCTCAGTTGAAAACAAAACTAACTTAAACAACCTGTCTGCATACACATTGAGCGGGGTTGGCCGTGAGGATGGTTGTCTTTTGGGGTACATCTAAGGCTCGGCTTCCGATCTTGCGGATCCTGTGAAATAGCGCGTCGGATAAGTTTTTTACATATGGGATGGCCTCTGTCCTATACCTGGTGCCATAACCAAAACATTCATAGTGAGGTCTTGCCATATCGGATGATCTGCCTCGACTTGCTGTCTTAATTCGTTGAGCTCAGATGTCTGCACCGTCGAGGCAAGTCGAAGCCGCTCCCCTTTGGAACGGTGCGTTAAAGCCTTGTGGCAGAGATCTTTCTCGTTAGCATGCTGAGGCTGAGTTCCCTTTGATGGAATAGCTCAGTGCATCTGGGTTGGGTTGGAAATTTATTGTATGAAGCTAGCATGGGTATGTTGGTTGAGAGGATAGGTAAGCTACTTCAAGAGAGACAATTAATTTCTTAGCACACTAATTTCACACCTTGAGGAGTCCCTTGTCGAGTCCCTTGTGGAGCCGCAGCACTGTAAACACATGATCTGATAGCCTGAAATCTAGCACAATTAACAACCCGCGGAATGGACTGCTTCTGTCCAAGCTACTCGAGTGATATCACCATCCTTTCACCATCCTTGCAGTCGATGAATCATTGACAGCATACTTGAGCGGCTTTAGTGGCTTGAGCAGCAGCACCATTCTGCAGGATATATGCACTAGATTAGCCAAGCCACTTGAGTATGCCTTCGAATGATTCATGTTTTACCATTGACTGCAAGAGGATGGTGAGTGATATCACTCGAGTGGCTTGAAGAGCAGTAGTCCATTGCCCGGGTTATTATATGCTAGATTTCAGACCATCAGATCATTGAGGTGTGGAATTTAATGTGCTAAGAAATTGCTTGTCCCTCTTGAAGTAGCTTAGCTGTCCTCTCAACCAAAACACCCATGCTAGCTTCATGCACTGTCATACAGTAAATTCCTGACCCAAAACGAGATTGAACTGAGCTATTTCATCAAAGGGAACTCAGCCTCAGGGTGCTAACGAGAAAGGTCTTGGCCACATTTAATGCACTGTGGCTGTGACTTACTGTGTTAATTCTATGAGTTTAGACATCTGCACCATTGAGGTAGATCATCCGTTATGGCAAGATGTACCCCAAAAGACAACCAGCCAACTCTGCTCAATGTGTGTGCAGACAGGTTGCTTAAGTTGGTTTTGTTTTCAAATTGAGGGCGCCCAGCAGTAGCTGGAGTACACACAATGCGGACTCTTTGATCAGTATGAGATGCAATTTCTTTGCATCTCGCTTAGGATTACACCTAGGATAGCATCCACAACGCCAGGTGCCAGATGGGAAGGTCGGTGAGGCCTTCCTGTCTAGCAGTCTGCAAACGCTCAGCGGTGCTATACTGTGCTGCGCTTGCATCCAAATCGTCTTCGTCTAGTCCAACAGAACCCAGGCCAGCATCTGCAACAGCAGCATTGTTTAAATTCGAGAGGAAAAGCTGTGTAAGCAGATTGTTACAGTGGACCCCGAATAAGCAGAATATGATTGTTACAGTGGAACCTGAACTGATTGGCCCTAGTAACACAACACTGTGGGTTTATTCAAAAAGAATTTGGCCAGGCCGTACTTCACTGGATACAAAACCTGAATTAGTAAGCTCATATAAAAAGGTAAAGCTCAGATGTGAGCCCTCAGACCTAATCATTGTACATCCGTAAAAAGAAAAAGAAAAATAAGAAAGAGTGGTTGTGAGGCACTGTGTTCCCAAAGTTTTGGCAATTTATCCCATGCTGCAAAAGCAGTTAAATGGGCCCAAAAGTCAGAGATGACTTTGCAAGTAATGCAGTGAAGTGCAGACATAGACAGGCTCATGTTGGTCTGAAGACCTTCCCTAAACAACAGCGACCGAGGTGGAGTGAGCTGATGGCTAGGGGGCACACAACCTCCCACACACAACCATGAATGGAGGCTGGTGGAATGCCCAACCACAAGTTAGCCTGGTTTAAGGTCTGGAAACTCTAATCCGTTCTGCAAAGCCTCATGAAGAGCCATGCCGCTATGCGTCCTGCAACGCTGGTGGTCGGTGCCATCAGTTTCACCTGGAGGTAATGCAGCAATACTTTAACAATAATCGGCATCAAGCTGTCAGTCCGACAGATACGGATCGCCTATACGACTCTGGTGAGGATTGCTTCCGCTGTGCTGTCAGGGACATGAAGGATCGGATGGGAACTAACCCGCTGCAGGAGGTGCAAACTTTGGCGGCCGTGGAAACAGCTGCAGCGCTTTCACCCTTACCAAGGCGGCGGGGCAAACACAAATTTTAGCGGCCAGCAGCAGTTCGGTGGCCAGCAGCAGTTTGGTGGCCAACAGCAGTACCACCAGCCCTTGCCCATGGGACCCATGATTCCAGCCAGCCATGGCCGCCGCAGGGGACCGATGTGAGCAGCGGCAACTAGGGTCATGACATGCGGCATGTGTAAGCGTTAGGCAGAGCGGTGCAGTTAGACACATTGCTTATTTGTGGACATTGTGATTGGCGGACCCCATTCTATATCATTCTATCCACACTAAAGGGTGAGGGCCTATTATGTAGTATTTACGGACTTATGTGCCCTTCCTTTTAATAATCCAGGCTGTAAGCCTCGAATGAGATCGATGAAAGACACTCGCGCGCATTTGGGAGCGATAGTAAATGCAGTGTGTTCATTTAGATTAGTGTAGAGAGTTAGCGGTACGACACAATTTTGATGCAGCATGCGTTAGCATAGCGTTGTAGAAAGCTACGCACTCAGTTTGTCATAAGATACCACGAACTTGGTACTCCTCTGTAACATCACCATTTACATACGCGCAGCATATTCAGCCTCCTGCTCTAAATTTTATGTACTATGTCGCCTGTTCCTAGGCTTGTTATTCCTGGTATTACATATAGTACTCAGCAGACTCAACAACCGCAGGCGCTGCCTCCCCTGCGATCTGCATCAGCGTCTGCACCATTAGCAGCTGTGGCCTCGATGAGTTGGGGTGTCCCGAGGCTAGTTCTGAACTTCAGCTCGGCTGCGGACGTTCAGACAGCATCTCAGCAGCAACTATCTGCCCACAGACCCAAAGAGGTTAATGTTCAGACCGAATTTTCAAATGAACCAAAAGAAGCAGCTATCCAGAGGTCCGTGGTGAGATGCCGTTTGTTTAAATGCTACTTCACAAACACATTTACATGGGATAGTATGTGACTCTTTTCGCTGCAGCATTCTTGACAAAAGTGCGGCAGGATGCAGCGGTGCGCAAAGTGGGGCACCAAGCAGTGGATCGGGCCAGCGCGGCGGTGTCCACTTTTCACGAGCTGGCAGGTTTGCCTACCCCATGCATACATTCCTTGTGTGCCGGAGTCCGGGAAGTCGCCCGTCGGACGCTGTCGGCAACCCCCAGGAACTTAGACGTCGCAACCCCGAAGGAGGTGTCGCAACTGGTGGAATATCATATCCACGAAGGTGTGCCCTTGCTCACTAGAATGGTCGTCACAGGCGCGGTGCTCACGTTCTGCGGTTTGCTCCGCTTTGACGATCTAAGCCATGTGCTGGTGCATACCGACCTGCTCCACGTTTACAGAGATCGCGTGGAGATTTTTTTATTCAAAAGCAAGACCGACCAGCACTGCAAGGGTGCCTTTGTGACCATCGGCAGAATCGGCGGGCCGTGCTGCCCAGTTCTTCTTTTGGAGCAGCTGCTGGAAGCAGGTCACTACCAGCAGACACCATGCACGTCGGTGCAGCGCGATGGGGTTGAAGCCGATACGGAGGATGTCGGCCCATTGCTGCGCGCTGTCAACGTCCGGCGCAACTGCCTAGAGGAGGTCGTGGCAGCACTCCCGTCTACGGTCGAGGCTATGCCTTATTGCAAGTTCCGCGACACGCTCCGGACGTTATGCTATGCGTGGAGGCAAGGCGTGCGGTGCGACTTGTGCCCGCACTCCCTATGCTGTGGGGGCGCCACGGCCCTCGTGCAAGGCGGCGCTGACCGGGCAGAGGTGCAAAAGCTGGGGCGGTGGAAGAGTAACACTGTTTTCGAGTTTGTGTATGTTTTCGAGTTTGTGGTGAGCAGTGACGGCACGCATCCCGCTAGGGTACGTTCCCCGTAGCACCTAGACAGTTGGTTTGCTTTCAAGAGTCCTTTGGTTGAGTGCCTAAGTGTCACGGCCGGCCACTGGTCCAACTTGAAATAATCGGTCATTAGTGGGGGGGTGTAGGGGGTTAAGCCGATCAGCAGGGAAACCCGAGGGGATACTAAGCCGATCAGCAGGGCGGCGTAATTGACGTGCAAGCCGCGGTTCGGAGTGGTGATCGATGTAGCTACGGTGTCAGACAGGCAGCATGGTGGCAGCGTCGGTTGGGGCCAGACCCGGCGGCATCGCTGCTGTGGTCCGTTTAGCGTTAATACAGTGTAACAATGAGGACAAGAAGCTGGACTTCTCATTGTGAGAAGGCGGGTTCTTGGACGAAGATGTTACTCGTTGTACTTGTCGTACTTGCCTCAGTATGGTTATTACACTGAACTGCGTTCTGTTCCGGCTATTCGCCGTATCGTGACCTTAGGTGTCATTCCCGCCCTCTCCACCCAGTTTTGGGGACTCTTTGGCCTTCAGCCCTGGGTGTTGGCGCGTCCGGTGGTTGAGTGCCTAAGTGTCACGGCTGGCCACTGGTCCAACTTGAAATATTTCGCGGTTATATTATAACTACCGTCCTCAGCCCTATTTACAAGAAGGGGGATCCCAGCATGCGAGTAACTACAGGGGCATAGCAGTAGGGGGCGCCTTGGCGAAATCTTACGCGCCGGTCCTCCTGGATAGGCTTGTTCGCACGGGGGAGACGCTCTCACTTAGGCACCGAGGCCAAGCGGGTTTCAGAAGAGGATTCGGTACTACACATCATCTCTTTGCCAAGCAGTACCTTACTGCTAGGCACAGCCAACCGGGACAGCGGCCGTCAATCATTGCGCAAATTGACTTTGAGAAGGCGTTTGACAAGGTGCCGCGGGAGATAATGTGGCTTCATTTGCAAAAGAGAGGGGTTGAAGGGTCCATGCTGCGGTCACTGATGTGGGCGTATGGCAAGGTTACAATGGTCATCAAGACGAATGGCAAGGCTGGAGGTGAGTTTGAGTCAAAACAGGGTGTGAAACAAGGCTGTCCATTATCAACTGAGCTGTTTGGACTCTACATTGAAACTCTCGCGGACGTCATCGATATGCACGACGGTAGTAACACCGGGGCACGGCCAGAGGATGCACCGGAGGTTGGAAATGAGCGAGTGTCCATCCTCCTCTATGCCGATGACGTTAGCCTTCTGGCAACAACACCAGGACGCATGGGGGAGCTGCTCAACATTGTGGACATGTCCTGTGATGATTTTGGGATGTGCTCCAATGTGTCGAAATGTGAACGCCTCGTTTTTGCAAGCGATAGCGACACTAGAAGTGCTGTCCAAGCATCGTGTGATGAGCTCAGGCTGGCTGGAGAGGCCATACCGGCTAAGAATAGTGCACGATATCTGGGGTTAGTGTATGGGCCGGAACGGCAGTTCTGGGCCTGCCGTCAGCAGTTGTATAACACAGCTAGAGCAGCTATGTTCGCGTTGAGTGCGAAATTAGATAAGCTAAAGCTGTTCGCCCCAGATGTGAGGATTAGGTGTTTCGATACGCAGGTACGAGCAATACTGTTGTATGGTTGTCAAGCGTGGGGGCCGTTTATGCAAGCTGAGGTCTTGGACAGGCTCAGGAGGCGGAGTGATGCGAGTAACCTTGCAGAGGGGCCCTTCGAGGCATGCCTACAGGACAGAGCAGTGCAGCTTCAGATATCTTTCATGCGACACATAGTAGGAGTTGCCAGACCAACACACCGCCTCCTGTTTACAGAGCTGTCGCAGCTACCCCTCCAATACCACGTCTTCAAGCAGGTTATGAGGTTTTGGAACAGTGTCCGTTTACAGCGTGGGTCTGTGGCACACCAAGTTTTGCGACAGGAGGTCGCAGAGTCCCTCTCCAACCCCGAAGGGGCCGGATGGGGGACACTACTCCTCCGTTTCCTATATTTGCTGGGGCACGATGTATGGAAAGAGACCCCGCAAGGGCTACACGCGGTAGATGAACGAGTGGAGTGGCTGATGAACAGGCCAATGCCAGGAGGTGTGGTTTTGGAGTTCAAGGACCGATTAGTGAGTGGTTGGAAGCATACGCGTTTAGATGTCCAGCCTGACATGTATCCGTCAGACAGCAAGCAACCAGGAATTCGCATGGCGAAGTATAAAGCATTGGATGGGTCTGGCGGCCGAACAAGCGGGCAGGAAGGAGGTGCTCCCGCATATCACAATGTTTATCCCGCGTTCAGCGAATCGCAAGCTTATGCAGTTTAGGCTTAGCTCTTGGGCATTGGCGGCTAACAGAGCGTGTAAGGGACGCGTTATATACCTAGGGAGGAGCGAGTATGCCCTTGCTGTGGCACTGATAGCCATATCGAGGATGAGAAGCACATTTTGCTAGACTGTCTGGTGTACGACAAAATCAGATCTGATATGGCCATGACCAAACCCATGGGTTTCCCACGCTTCGAGCATATGAAGGACGCTATGAAGTGGGAACCTGAACGACTGGCAAGGATGCTGAAACGTATATGGTCCCACCGCAACTCTATCGTTCCCTTTGGTCGTTAGAATCCTTCATCACTTGTTTCGTTGGAAGTGCGAGGTAGGATGGTGCTTATAGGCGATCTGGCAGCCCTTGAGCCCTCGGCTCGTATTAGGGTGGTTTGCAGGTACGGGGAACGCACCTGGGTGGATGGTGCTATAAGGTGATAAATGATCGTAGAACTGACAATGTGATAAAGCGGCCCAGAAGCCTCCCACTCCGTAACATTACATTACATTTTAAAGATGCATGTCTAATAGCCTCCAAAAGTGGTTTGCATACACGTATACATGGATAACATACACATCGACGTAGATGTTTTTGTGCCACCTAAGAATTTTTTAGCGAGACGATACCTCATACGAAACCTCATGATGTCGCATAGCATGCAATAGGGCGCCGGTTGTGAATTTGGGCTTTGTTCTCAACCTTGAAATTTGACACCCGTAATCCACAACATGCCTTTTGCCCCTAACCCTAACACACCCGTGGCAGAAGAATCAATTGATATCGCACGCTGCCTTTTAGTGCAAAACCCGCAGCACACGAGCACATGTGGCTACGCCCCTAGCTATTTTGCTAAATCACATATACGCCGATTCAAACGATTCGGAAAAGCGCCCTGATACCTGCAAGCGCAGCGGCCGTTTCCTCGCCAACGATAACGGCCAACGGCCAACCTGCAAATGTTTTCAGATTTCAAACTCTGAAGCAGCCTTGAATAACTCAAAACGCAGCAAGTCGCTAACCGGGGTCTAGAGCCCTGGTCGGTTATGCAACGAGTCCGAGCAGCTTCGCAGGGGGATATAGGCGGATGGCTGGATGAGTCACAGCGCGTCTAAACCCCTAAAATCCTTCGCTTCATGTTTGGCATTTCATGCTGCCCAGGCTAATGATGGTGTCGGGGTTTGGGAAGAACTTTTAATTGTTGTTGGCGATCAGTGGTGGTGCTCGTGTTAGGGTGATTGAACTCTTTTGAGTGTTTTGGGGGGAAGAGGACCTGGAGTGAAGGTGGGCTGTTGGGGTAAAGGATGCTCGTGGGTGCTTTTATGGTGCTCGTGGAAAAGACGAGCAGACCCTGAGTTTGTCAACGAAGAAAGAACGGCCCGGAAGGAACCGGGTGGAGAGCCTGCTCTCT